TGTGTGTGTTTGTGTATTTTGGAAGAAGAAAAGGGGTGTTTGTGGAGGAAGAAATGAGGATTTTTCTTTTATTCTCCTTTTTCTCTTTGGCTTTCTTCCTGCATCTTTCTTGAGCATCCTTTTAAGCTGCGTCCACACTGTCGCAATAATACAGTTTGATACCGCTTCAGCTTGCCCTGGCTCCAAGTGATAGGATGCCTGGGATGTGTAGTTTCTCCAGCCTTCTCTGCCCACAGCCTGCTGGGGCCTCGCCAAACTACACATCCCAGGAGCCAGGGTCCTTTCCCCCCAAAGGCTGTGTCAAGTTGCATCTGCACTGCATTTATGAATCCGGCTTGGTACCCCTTTGACAACCATGGCTCCAGGCTATGACATGTTTTACTATTAATCATGTGCTATTATTTCTGAACTTTTGTAATTAACACTTTTAAAATAATAATAATAATAATAATAATAATAATAATAATAATAATAATAATAATATTCTATCTTTTTCAATTATTGTAACGTGCCTTGAATCCCATTGTGGGAGAAAGGCGGGATATACAGTACATCCTAAATTTGTAAATATATATAAATGGAAAATATAAATTGGAATAAAAGAAATAAGTAGTAATAAATCCTGGGCAGGGCTGCCATCTTACATCAGCCTGGGGAGGTGTAGTTTTTTTTTGGGAGGCACCTACACTCTTTAGCAGAGAAGGTGAAAGACTCTGGAAAACTATACATCCCAGGATGTCCTAGGATGGAGCTCCAGCGCTTAAAGAGGTGTCAAACTGCATTATTTCTACAGTGTAGAGGCACTTTCCTGCATCGCCTGGGCCACATTCAATTGCTTTGGGGTTTTGCTGGGGATAAAAGTGGTTTTTCCTTCTCTTTTTTCACATCTTCAGAAAAATAGAGGAGGTGGTCTTGGGTTCGAGTCTCTTTTTATTTGTTCAAGGATACTGGAGAGCAATAGGGAGGGTTGGGATTTGCACATGAGAATGGACTCTTCCTGATATTTGGGATGATGATGAGTGCATGTACACTGCAGAAATAATGCACTTTGACACCGCTTTAAGTGCTGCAGCTCCA